AGTGTATGAGCATGCACGTCTCACGCCTGAAGAAGCCAGGTGTGAAGACTCAGCTTTTTTACGTTAAATAAACAGAAAGTTGGAGCTTTATGTGCCAGACCTATGAATGGCATCTGGCACGCCCAAGCGGAGGCCTGATGATTAACTTGGACCACCTGGAGATCTTGTGACGTGTAACCGAGATCTCGGTTACACGGCGCCTTCACGGCAATAAGCTCGCGTCAAATTGCGGGCACCTCCGTCGAGATTCCAACCCGAAGCGCAAGCTGGGGCCGCAGTAGTGCAGACGTCATTGGATGTTGCAGCAAACTACACTGGCAAAAATTGCAGAGCAGACGACACTCGCGCTTTGCTCTAAGTTCGCCCACCGTCGCATAGAAGACCACGTGACCTTTCAGACCACGTGGTTCAATGTGACGTGGACATGACTCTGATGACACAAGGTCAATGTTGCCTGTTGCAACCGAAGTCTCAGTTTCGGTATCTGCTGATGCTTAAACTATGATTAGAGAAATAATATTCTACATTTCGTGAATCTGAAGGCGTACGGCTGTTTAGTAGTGCTTTGGGAAATGGAATCACATGTAAGGCTAAAATATTTGGAAATGAGTGGAGCTGTCCTTTAAGAAACAAAACAAAAACTTCAAGATTACTGTTCCACAAAAGATTCAAGATTAATCAGATTAAAATACTTGAGGTGAGGTAACATTGCAGGGGCGAAATTAAAGAGGAGGGGGGAAGAGGGGGGGCAACCGCCGCCCCTTTTTTTTAAGCTTCCAATTGCAAAACAAAGGTCAATATCAGTTCTTTTCTTTGGATGAAATGTTTCGTTCTTTGTGAAGTAGCAATTCTTAGATGAATAAAATAGATCCGTTCGACAGACGTAAGACATTGAGATTAGGCCTCCTTACCAAGGAGAAATTAGTTTAGCCAGTCAGTAAATACAAAATGCAGTGAAGAAAGGTAGCATGCAATGACACAAATGTCTACATTCTATAGACCTGTACCTTGTTCAGAAAGCATCAACAGGGAACACATTGCAAGCATCAAGGCATTTTGAACAGGTTATAACGTCTAGAATCAGGAAACCCTTTTAAAAGCATTTAACCTTTTTTTTTTTGTTCTTGCACTAAACCCTTTTTTCACCTCAATTCTTCCCACCCTCAATGCTTTCTTCTTTTTTTTTTTACTTTTTTTGATTAAATGTGGATAGTCCTTGTTTACAACATGAAACTATGCGTTTACAATATGAAACTATGTGGAGCGAAAGTTTGTCTGCTCCATTTTGTGACGTCAGAACGACGCCGAGTTTTAATTGGCTCTGACTCAAGGATAGTGGGTAGACCTCAAGGCAGCTTGCTTTAAGCTCTATTCACTATCCTTCAATCAGAAACAATCAGAAGTCAACATCATTCTCGGTCTGACGTCACCGCAACCCCTGCAAGAAGAAGAAGCAGAGGACTTGCTCTCCGCATACACAGATTAGATAAACATACAAAAGAACTATGCAGAAAAAATAATCACAGCATGTATGAGCCATGTGAAACTACCAAGAGTTAGTCCCAGCTAGAATTAACTACTTTGTCCACAGTGATAAACATAACTAAAACCTGAGATTGTGAAGGAGAAAAGGAAACATAAGACACACACAGCACTTCAAGAAGGCATATGTGTTTTTTTTTTTTTTTTTTTTGTCTTTTCTTCCATTATGTTTACATTAAGTTGCAGATTCACATGCTTGTTTGTGGGCTCACTCTTCTTTCCTCAGTAATGATGTAAAACATTTAAATTATTAAATCAATAAGGGCAGGTTATGAAAATGCAATGATACACTAATAAATATCTCAGCGGTCATTCCTTTCAGTTGAGTCATCCGCCGTTGCAAGAAGGTGTATGGGTTCGGTGGAGGGTGTGTCGACGGCTGTATAAGAGTAAATGTGTGAAATAAACTAGTAGCAGTGTTTGAGATTGTGTATGTTGTGTCCGCTTTTAATGTTCCCCATCTCGGATTTATAATGAATATTTATATGCTTTGATTTCAAGGGTCTGATTTCTTTTAAAAAACTATTTTAGTGCCAAAAACCCTGCGTATAAATTTACTTTCCTCTACTTCCATTTTTCTTTTAGCTTTATCATTAATAACGGTTCATAACACATGAGCGAATGATGTAGCGAAAAGCGCCATTTGAGCGAATCAATGTTTTATTGAATAACAAGAGCCGTATATGGAGAGTTTGGCCAATCATTGGGAAGTATAGGAGGCAAATCAGGAGGCGCCAGGCCAAAAGCGGGCTGGGCATGTTCCAGGGCATCTTCATGAATTCGAATATGGCCAACCAGAAGCCGGAGATAATACCCTGGCGGTGGTCACGAGAAACAAAATTATTAAGTGCATCGGGGTAACTCTCGGTGACTGAAAATATGGTGCATGTGATGTCTCAATCACAGTCATCCAAAACCATAGTATAAGAGCATGACTAGTGGAACGATCGACATAATCTGTACGCCAGTCGCCAAGGGCCAGGAATCTGCCATCTGAGCGGTCACACTCTGCCGAAGCGAAACAAGAGTTTGAGCGGCACATTTGTTTCTTACATCTTTTTGCATGATCATAATTGAAACATCATATCCACCCTATTTTCAGTCATGAAGAGTTGCTACATTTACCCCTTATGCTCTTATTAAAAATGTTTCTCGCTACCTCGGCTAAAAGATTCTTTTCAGCTTCTGGATGGCCAAGAGAGCATGCCAAGCCCTCTATCTGTGTCTGGTGCATGCCCGGGCTCTGCCTGCTCCTCCCATTGACCAAACTCTCTCTATACACGGCTTTACAAATAACAGGTGCACGTGTTAACCCACCCCTCCGCGCTGTGCTCACGCCACTTCGCAGCGGCAGCTCCTCACAAAAATGTTAACCCACTTGGCCCACCAATAAAACGCCGCTTTGCAGCGGCCGACTGTTTGCTAAAGTGTCTTTCGATGAAAAGTCGGTGTTCGCTAAAACATTGTTTGACCAACTAAGGACGCCCCATTGATAACTAGCTCTTGTTTGTGTGTCGTCAATGTGCTACCCTTGGGTGTGGAGCAGAGCAATCGAGCAAAGCTTCAGAGAACTGTGAGCCACTTTTTCACATTTTGCATTAGAGGTGATCTAGCATGTCATGCCATGGCAGTGAAAGAACCACTGTCCAGCAATCAGAATTCTGTATGTGAGAGGGCGACTATGAGATGAAATTTTGTTGTTTTCTCTCTATGTCCTATGAAACTTTATGCATTCATATTACACAAACTTTCTATTTGTTAAAAAAAATGTTTAGACTCCTGCTAAACTCCTGTGAATGAAGAACCCGTCTTGAATTTTGAGATAAAATTTCCCACATTTACCCTGCCATACTAAGCAGAACATGGAAGTCATCACAGCATGCACCAGTGCATATGACAACTGTGGCAGCGTGCAACTGCTACAAATATAAAATGTAGCGACCAAATGAGGTTTAGATTATTTTTTCAATATCTGGTTCTCAGCTAACATATGTGGTGCTGGGCATACTTAAAAATAAATATGACACAAAAATTTTAACAATGAGCATTAAAATTTACTTGTAATTAAAACTCGTGTATTTTTTATTTTATTTTTAGATTGCTTGATTGATTTGAGAACTGAAGCAAAAGATGTGTGTTGTCGTGCCCGTCCCTGTGTTTATTATTTCTGTCATATGTTATTTTTTATTTGCATGCATCACGATTTGTTTTTGTCTATGGGAAAAAAGTTCAGGTAGTGAACAGATTTTCTTTTTACTTGTTTGCAAGCATATTGACAAACAGCTATTGGAAATACTGTAGACTTTTGTTACTAGACCTTGAAGGCAAAATGACTTTCCCAAAAGATTAACAGACATCTTTTCTTATTAATTATGCATAAACCAGCACGCTTCGTCCATAAGCAACAATCTAAAATCGCGCGCAGTAATCTTTAGGATGCCTACACAGAAAACGTTTGTAAGCGCGGCCACCTAATTCAATGGAGTAAACTTCAAATAAAGTTGCTCCCGGTCCGCCACATATCACATATGTTCAGTTAACCAGCATTAGACTTTACGTTGTTTCCGCGCGTGGCTTACAAATGCATTCTGCTGCGCGTGTAGCATCAGACAGCTGTTTTGCAAGCTGCGGCGCGTTGAACTGCGGATTTTGGGTTCAAGCCATAAACCTACATCGTCAATACACTATTCTCAGTTATTCCGATCTATTTTTTTTTTCTTTATCATGAACACGCGACAAAAATAGCTGCTTGAATTGAACGCCATCAAGGCATTTAAGTTGGTGAGCATCGTTGAAAAACACGCCATCTCCGAACCTACCATCCCTTCCGCTCGGCCTGAATAGTGGGTCACCGTACAGACCTCGTCAGCGAAAGGTGCTTCGGAAAAAAACCACGAAGGACAGATAGACTGTCTGTAATGAACACGGGCGAAATGCCCAAAGCGAGCTGAAGCCCACGACCCGGCCGAAGCAGCAGCAAACCGCCGAGAAGGGTCGCAGGAATGTTTCCTCGTTGATGGGAGAGGGTGCGTATCATTCACGGCGTGTACAGCTTACACGCTTACACTAGCCCAGTTTCTCGGGCTGCCTCGACAAAAGGGCACTGGCATCCGAACTCGTGGCAGGCTTGGACACATGCAGGGTCAAGCGAGACATCGGGTCGCTCTGGCACCTAATGGAAGTGTGCGCCACATAAATAGACACGAATGCGTGCACAGTGGTGTGTGTCGCGTTGGAAAATGCAGTCCAGCGTCCGCGCTCAGCACATACACACTCCGTTGGCGCCTCGCGTATCTCGCCAACACAACCTCCTGATAACACGACCTTCAGGAACGACGAGCGCTTTGCGGTCTAAATGGTGCGCGTTTGAGCGGATTGACACGAGATCATGCACCGGTCAGTAACATCAGTGCAAGGAGTGCGAGAATCGCGAGAGAGATCGGTTTCGGATCACTTACCAAACGAGAGGCCTCCCCAGCAGCACAACACGAGCAGTGTAGCACGCGCGAGCGAACGGTTTGTAATCCCGAGCGTCGTGCACACGTCGCGTTCACACAGGGGTCGCATCTTGGGTCACTCCGTGCAGCAAGGATCGTGGTGAGCGTCCAGAACAAGCCGTCGCCACAAAGACATCGAAGGAAACAGGTCTTCGCTCATGGGCCCCGCTCACTTGGGCTTGAGCCGTCGCCTCATGACTGCCATGGCGGCCACATCATTCCACTACGCCCGCACCGTTTCACGACTTCCCCCCGTGCTTACGCGCGCGATAAACACTGTCGCCTTCATGTCATTTCACTGCGCGCACCCGCAAAGGGCCCTTCAACTCGCCACAAGTTAACAATGTACCAGGCACCAACAAAACACACATTACCAAAATGGCGGAGCTTTTTGCGCCTCCGGAACAAGTACCCGGATCACCCGGATGAACCACCCTCCTCCTCTCCTATTTTTTTCTTCTTTTGGTTCGCATAACAAACCACACACTTCGTGCGTGTGCCGTTGATCCGTAGATAGGGGAGCTATTTGTAACCGATAGCTTCGATACGCCGGCTGTGCACTGCGCTTTGGAAGTATTGTATTTCGTGCCGAAGAAATGTTTAAAAAAAAAAATTAAAACGAAAAAAATTCAAATTGTCGTTTCCGGTCGCGAACGTTTATTTTCGTAGCCTCGGTGGGGGGTCAGACGAGACCGGAGAGACACATCAAACTGCGGAGGCTCCTCTTTCAAATCTGATTGTCGCCCGCAAACGTTGTAGGCTTTTGTTCTTTTGAAAGAGATACGTACACTGCAAGCCTTAGCACAGATCTCAAGCGTTGTTTTTGTGTCCAAACAAAACGACACAGGCTAAAACGTAGCGGTCCCATACAATTTTTTTTTTTTTTTTTTTTTTGCGGGGGGGGGGGGGGGGGGGGGGGTTGCGGCACTGAGAACGAAAAGAAACAAGCTTGCTTTGAGCGAAACTACGTGTGTAGCTAGGACATTACGGCGAAGGTGCCTACGTAGTAAGCGTTTTTGTTTATTCCTGATCTCGTTTTTAACCCGATCTTGTACGGAATCCTCACCCAACACCCTCACTTCAGTGCCCTCGCAAAACACACCCATGGAGTTTACGCTCTTCTTGTTACCACCCACACCCCACCCACCGCAACTCAAGGCTGACGTAACTTTCTATAAACAAAATCAAAATTAAGCTCCTCTATGTGTAAACCCTATGGTTCTTAATTTGACTTTGAATGTGATTCATAAGAGCTCTTTAGCGCTTGCTTTTAATCGTACAAAGACTAAAATGGGGAGTGCTAGCGAGTAATATACTCGCTCCAACCTCCGGTTCTCGGAAATACAAGCCCAAGAAAAATAGCGCAGAGTAAACCTGAGCTCGACCGCGATTGGAGGAATATGACATCACTTACGGCGAGCTCTCTGATTGGTTTATAAACATGATGTCAGGTCTAAAAATATTGCCAGAACTATAAAAGCGAAACCGCGCGCCGGCGACGCGTTATTTGGCTCGTGGTTCGCGTTGAAGTTTGTTGGAGGCGCAAACATTTTGTAAGCACCCTACTATTCTTCAAATGAAACGTCGTGATATCCGGTCCGAGATATTTTGGGCAGAAGGGGGAAGCTTTATTATGCGATACGCGTCTTTTGATGCGGTGCAATCCTGGTGCAACGTTGAGTGATTATTTTTCCTGTTTACCTTCAGGTGTCAACCGGACCCGAACCCCAAGTATCCCAAAAAGTTCCGCTCTGTTACTCGGCAACTGGATACCTTGTACAATCTGGTGAGCACTTTATATATTTATATGTATTTATTATTATTTACCCGCGCACAGCGCTTTTTTTATTTTCTTTTAGATAGGAGTTTTTAACTGGTTACATGGTTTCTCACGACAGTCTCACTTCACTTCAGGTTGACTCGCTTGTGAGATGCTCAACTCTTGGACTGTGACGGGGATGGCGAAGAATCACTACAGCGTCAGCATTGTCTACAGGGACACCACCCAGGCAGACTATGAGGTCGGCGCCGACACCTACCAGCCTCCGTCTCGGAACGCCAGCACCGGCAGCTCTCATCCAGACAGTCTTCTGGACACAGGTCAGTCGCGCTCCTTGTCGGCACGCCTTTCCTTCGGCCTCTCCCACATCCGATAGCGCGAGCATCGTGCAAAAGTTCCGTGTCTGAGGCGCCAGACAGCACCGGATGTACGGTGACGATCCAGACCCCTTGGGTGGCTCTGCCTTTCGCGTTTTCCCTTTACATGCCACGTGAAAGGGTTTACACAAAAGTTAAACCTGTGTATATATTGAGGATCGCATATTTCGCAAATATGGGTTCCGATAAGATGTGCATTTTTCAGAGTGGGTTCATCCCATGGCTGTATTCAGTCAGTAAGGCTAAAACAGATTGTTTTTCTCAATCACTGGTGGGCAGCTGTGAAACCATAAGAGCCAACGCGTATGGGCCGTTGTCTTATACGCGCTTCCCCATGCCTTTCCAGGTGAATCCTTTTTCTTCGATGACCTGTGCAAGCCGTTCACAGACGGCGGCAGCCTAAAAGATGGTGCGCCTAACCTGATGCTGGACGACGTCTTTCCTTCTTTCGATCTTCAAATGGGTCCCCGTGTGCCAGACCCGTCCGAGCGGATGTTCAGCCTCCCTGCCGTCAAAGTCCTACCGGCCCTGCACAGGGCGTCTGCCGAGCCCAGCAGCCTCAGTCAGGAGTTCTCGCCTGTCGGCATGGACATGTGGGACCAGAACGAGACCTTCCAGGACCTCTCTGGCCTCATCGAAGAGGTGAGGGTGCCTTCTTGCCTTTGATGGGTTCGCACCCCATGAAACCCATAGTTTTTCTGCAAGTGGAGATTTGGATTGAAACGGAATCTCACGCGGTATTTGATTTGCTCTTCTCAGGAAAAGTGCCAGACGCCAGCGGCTACGCCCAGTCCCCTGCACTACCTCGTGCCTTCGGAAGACGGGCATCAGCGTAGCAACCACAGCCAGAGCTGGGATCAGCGTCCCCAGCCGGCACCGGTAAAGCGATCCTACGAGGCACCGGCCTGCGAGGCCGGTCCCTCTCACGTGGACATGGTACCGTCGCCAAAGATGCTGAAGGTCGACGAGGACTGCAATGGCCGGTATTCCGAGATGAGGGTCAAGAACAACATGGCCTCGCGCCGGTCCCGTATGACCCGCAAGGAGAAGGAGCAGGAGATGGAGAAGCGGGCCTCGGAGCTGGAGCAGGAGAACGAGGCGCTGCGCATCAAGGTGAAGAACCTGGAGGAGGTTACGGACAGGCTTAAGCAGCACCTCATAAACTCCATCGTGAAGAAGTGAGCGCTGGACGCCCCTTCCGTATCAACCTCATCCCTTGTGCTCTCATCTCGACGGACTGCCGCCAGGCGGCAAAGCCGTGACGTGCAAACTGCCAATGGACAAATCCTCCAGACTTGGGAAGTCAGTCTAGAAAAAGTCAATCCCAAGTCTAACTGCTCCTCCCAACCCCCCCCTCCCCCCTTTTTTTTTCTTAATTTTTTTAATGTTTTTATGCAGTTCTTTTATTGTTTGACACTCAAATAGACTGTGCTGCTGCGAAAAGGCAACATGTGATGTGCTGTTCCGTCCCAATCCATTTTAATCTTAGGCCCGCGATTGTTCTTCACATGTGTGTTCAGGCCTTTCTACTTTTAATGTTGGGATGCGCTTCACCACTGTGCTTTTCTCCTGTGTAGCACAAATCTATTGATGTGACAGATGAGCCCTTTCTAATTTGAATTATTTATTTGATAGAAGCAAGGAACTCTGTTATGATGTCATTAGACGGTGGAAGAGGGCAGTTTAGCCGACTTACTGATTTGAGTAAGTAAAAGGACAGACAAACACAAAAGTCTCAACGTGCCTCTTTCATTGGAAAACAGTTTGGTTGCAACTCCTTGATGAGACAGCGATATATGTTCAGAAAATATTTTAGATGAAGCTCTACATGCTTAGTCTGTGCGAGTAGAGTGAGCAAATTATTGCCCCTGTACATACACCCATCACCAAGTCATCTTTGTGTGTGTCCCGTATAGACTGCTGGGCAGCTATGCTTGTGCCTTACCAGTGTGTAGATATTTTTATAACATCAGAGTGCAATTTCTTTCATTTTTTTAATGTTTCTTTGAGTGTGTGCGTGTGTGTGTTGGTTTTGTACATAGCTGTACAATAAAAATACATTGTTACAACATTTGTGTTTCTTTCTGTACAATATGAGTGGGCTGTTTTTTAACAGTCAATTATAACTCAATGTTTCTGCAAAAATTTTTGTTTCATTCCTTATTCGTGTCCTGTTTCTCCGACTTCTGCCGAAGCGGGTGAACTGCAAACTTCTCCCAAGGGTGGTGTGAATTTTGCATCGTGGGTTCAAAAGTGCCCCGTCTTCGTGCTCCCATTTCGGCACTTTCCGAGCTGAGCGCCGCTCACAACAAATACCCTTTGTCAGCTGGTAGTGTTCACTTTGACATCCGAGCCATCCTGCTGCGCAGCAGCCGCAACTGCAGTTCGCCATAAAAGTGAAAAAAAAAAAAAAAAGTAAGTGGACAAATACTACTAAAACAGACTTGGATGAAAAGCTGTGTAGCACGCAGTACCTTGCCGCACTGTACCACGGTCGCTGAAATTGAGAGCGCGGGTTAAACTTACGTCCTCAAAAAAAAAAAAAGAAAGAAAAAAAAGTATATATATATATATATATATAATATAGGGCATAATTGCTCTGCACTGACTGGTAGCTTAACGCGTGTAATTTATTTTATTTGTGCCGTGACTTCGGCAGCACATCGTTTATGCTTTAAAAATCAGAACTTTTTTTTTTTTTTGTTTGTTTGGGGAGGAGGAAAAGGGTGGGTTGGGGGGGGGGGGGGGGGGGGGGGGAGAGAGATTGCGAGATAAAATTGTTGCTTTTTCGTTGTTTTGATTGTAGCTGTTTTTTACTGGAACATCATTTCCCTTATATTTTACAATTTCAGGCGCCCGAACTTTTGCGACCCCCGCCATCAGCGGTGGTATCGACTGTAAAAGAACGAACAACAAACTGCATGATTTCGTCGAAAATTCGTCGCCGACTAAATATCAGCATAGGGGACGACAAGAAGGCTTGTGCGAGATTAGATAACGTAGCGTCAGCAGCAGTGTCTTTTAACTCCACGTGCAACGGCCTTCGTAGCAGGAAAAAAAAAAAAAAAAAAAACGCGCACCGGGTGTACACAGACACACATATGTCTGTGCGTCTGTGTGTGGGCGTGTGTCATGGGGGAATAACGCGCCGGTTTTCCCGCACTCGCAATAATAAAACACAGGAAGCGCGCTTTTCTTCTTACCTTCAAAACGCTGTATCCTCTCTCGGAAACACGTGCCGCACCTGTCGCGAGTTACGGTAAACCATTAAACACCGGAATACTGGGCTACTGGGAAACCGCCGGGCCGCAGTGTGGTCCGGTAAATTTGGAGTACTCAAAATATTGCGCAATTTTTTGGTCGCGTTCGATTCGTCAACCGTTTGCAAAAAAAACAATAGTGACGTCAGTAACGTATAACGCCAGTAACCTCAACCGGCGTTTTATTTCTTGGAGTCACGAGAGCCACGTGAACAGTTTCGCCCAATTACACTGCTTTAATTTTGTAGGCGCGAAAATTGAAACAGGTCTAGGGGAAACGTTGCGACGACTGTCCAAGTCAAGTGCTTTTACATTTATACGGGTCCATATCACAAGAGCGAATGACATTTTAGCGAACGGCGACATTTGAGCGAATGGTCGTTTTAGCGAATAACGGGGGGCGCGCGTTAACCCATCCGTCGCGCTGCGCTTTACGCCGCTTCGCGGCGACAGTCTACGGCAACTCATTACAAAAAATAGGGACTCACTTGGCCCACCCGAAAACGCCGCTTCGCGGCGTCCGACTATTCGCTAAAGTGTCGTTCGATGAAACGTGGGCGTTCGCTAAAACGTCATTCGATCAAGTGAGTGCCTCCCCATTTATACTTATAAGTTATACGTGCAACTGAGTGGCACTAGCTGACTTGCGCTAGGTAACGTGAAAACCAAACCAGATATTACTGTCTTTTACAAGAATCCTCGCGTTCGTTTGTACATTCGGTACATCAACCTACCGCAAACGTAGGGAAAATAATTACAAAGGTCGGGTAATTGCTTCCGCGTGGAGAGCCGATCGCGAGGCGGGGAGACGATCTGCGCGAGAAGAAAGCCCTTTTTGAACGGAGACTGCCTACAGATGTAGCGAGTTGAGGGGGAAAAGTTTCCAACTCTCAAGGCAAGAGAAGGGCGACACAGGTTTGTAAAGGGAAAGATCGCACTGCAGTCTGTGTTGAAGCGCTGCTACCACGGTGGTCGTCGGAGACATCAAAGAATCGCGGCATCTTCGCCGGTATTTCTGCGTCTCTGTTTCCGAAACACAATTTTGGGGTCTTGGCGAGCCAGCCTGTTAAGGCGGGCGCCCTATTATGCACCCAGAAGGTTTCAGCCTATTTCAAAGACGACCATAAAGACAGGAAACATGCTGAAATAAAAAAAAAAGGCATCGCCATTGAAGGTGCTGGAACGAGAGGGATGTTTTTTCCTCGTCTCCCAGAATCCATCTGCTTCCTCCTCCCAGCCTTCCTTCTCTTCGCCCTGTCACTTCACTGAAACTGCAGTTGTAGATCTGTCACTGTGAAATCCCGCGGACGGTTTGTTTGGACATCTCAACATCAAAAATTGTACTTTTTTTTTTTTTTTTTTTTTTTTTTTTTTTTGACAAGTGCAACGCTAAAAAATACACAGTATTTAAAGTTTTACACTTTTAATCATTATGGCTACCAAAAGAACGCTCCTTGATGCGTGGTTGCGGGGGCCCAAGAAATTGGCAGTTTGTCAGGGAAATACCCAAACCTTCGGCACGGCAGCAGCGGACCGTATCGTACCAAGAGTCACCCAGAATTTACAAAAAGTCTGGTAGGTTTTGTTTAAATTTTGTTGTGTGCATGCGTAGCAAAACAAGAGGGGAATCGTCGAATCTTAGGTTGCATAAACTGCATTGCATGGAGTTCACAATGTTCAGTTGTTGTATGAAATAACCGCATAAAACAGTTTTGTAATATATTGGGAAGGTATTGAGCACACAGACGTAGTTAGATGGTGGAAGTAGTCAGTAAAATTTCAATAAAAATAGTTCACTAAGCAAACCAAAAAAAAAAAATCTTATTTTTTTTATTTTGCGTATGAACGCCACATTATATTTTGGGCCACTGTGGCGTTAATTCTGGCGAAATGAAGGCTGTGTTATGTAATATTGTATTTTATTTTTATTCCACCCATTTTTTCAGTCATAATAAACGCCTCAGTTTCCCAGAAAAATGTTTGATATTTTCGCGAAAGAGAGATTTCGCGAAAATTTACCCATAAAAAACTGCTTCTTTTTTTTTTTCCTTTTCTTTCTTTCACTAAAAAAATTTAATTCTTCATTTTCAAAAAAAAAAAAATTAAAAATTAATCCACCACGTTCGGGCATCTCTGTAGTAAATCGTAACACGTACGTTAACAAGGAAATTTGCGCATAGAAAAAATCGCAAGGGTTCAGGCGAGCTGGTGAATATTAGCCATGTTGAATAGAAGGGACAGAAAATAGACAGGACGACGTCTTGAGACGTCGTCCTGACTATTTTCTGTCCCTTCTACGCTTTGATGTTTCTTCTCTAGCCCAGTCTCAGGTTAATTCAACATGGTGAAATTTGTGCAGTCACTTCAAAGGGCTAACGAAACATCTTACGTGAACTCCCGGTAAAGTATGACAGATCCCCTAACCGCTTTTGGTGGGCATTGGTTTTAAAAAGTCAGATTTGGGCGTTTTACGTGCCTAACCAACGACGGGCACCTGAAACGCCCCAGCGGAGGACTGGGTATTCATCTCGATTTAATTTCCAAATGTGGTGTGGTGACGTGTTCTAAAGAAAGCCGCTATTCTCTTACCGTAGAAAAATAGTTGTGCGTTTGCTTCGGTGTCGTAGTTTTATCCCGCTTAAATGACAAAAAAAAATTAATAATAAAGCTCATTCATAGATTGTTTGTAGAGGGCTGCAGCCTCGACACTAACGCGCACATAAATTCGCATTCGACTAATGTAGATTCTTCAACGCTATAGCCCAATAATGAGACCAATGGCGGCCTTTGTCGACTATTTTTTAGTTACCGATATGGCCCAAATCGATTAAGAGAGCATATTAGTTCAGTGTTGTTTATCCTGTGCAATTTATTGAGCAGTCTGTAAAATTGATAATAATTATAACAGGCAAAGTGTGTCTTCCGTTGAACCTCGTTGGTGTGGTACACATTTCTGTCTTGTCAAAACGCTTCCAGATGCTAGCCAATGATCTAAAGCGCAAAGATGTTATCGAGTTCCTTTAAAGGGTTAAAAATTCAAAAAATGCAAAAAAAAAAAAGAAAAAAAAGTACGAAAAGCAACATGATCGGTGCCACGTGTAGCTGCTACTATTGGATCCGACTGCGTCAACATTTCATCAATTGCTTCGTGGCAAGAATTTTGGATAATGTAGGGATACACGGTACAGGAAATGATAATATTAACCTACTATAAACAGTGAAATTTCGGTAATAACTGTTTTTCAATTTTCGTTTTTTTCACCTCCCTCTTCCTCTCTCTCTCCCCTCCCCTCCCCCTCTTCCACAGCACCCTTTATTTCGACCGTGAGCCCCCCCACGTAAAATACACTTCCGGGGGTCGCTGCTGCGCTTGCGTAGGGGCGGAATACGTCGCAAAAAGCATGTGTATGCGTTTTCAGGTAACGTTCTCGGGAGCTCAACAGATCGAGAAACTGAATGGTATTCAAGAGTTTTCCCACACGTTAGCGCAGGAAAACCTGCATTTGTGCGCTCACCTTTAGAGATATCGCAATGTTAGTTGCCACCTGCTTTTACAAGAATTATAGGCTAACACATTAATTAACCTTTTACAGGAGAAAGTAACGTCCTCCAGAACTTCACTGGCGCAAGTAGCCATCGAAGTTCTATACGACCCTGGTCAACGCCGGAAAGAATTCCCTCCACTAAAATTTATTTGATCAGCTAAGAGATGCATGCTCAAAACAGGCATATTGTTGTTTTCTTTTCCACGCAATGTATGAACAGCCTCCAGCTTCGCACTACTAATAAAAATAATAAGAATGCATCTT